CTTGACATTCCTGGAAAGATGGGCTGATGCTTGGTGGCTGCTGTTGGTCCCATGACAGTAACAAGGGCGGAGGTTTGCTTTCGAGGAACCATTCAACCCTGGTGCTCAGGACTGGAGGAACTGAAAGATAGAGGTTCTTTAGAATGGTTTCCTCCTCTTTTCTACCAGCTTTTCCCAGTCTGTAGACATGATAAGATCACTCTGCAAATCTGCCCTTGAATCTTTCTGTTGCAACTGAATAGGTTTTTTTTTTTTTTTTTTTTTTTTTTTTTTTTTTTTTGAGACATATCACTCTGTCACCCAAGCAGGAGTGCAGTGGCGTGATCTCAGCTCACCACAACCCCTGCTTCCAGGGTTCAAGCGATTCTCCTGCATCAGCTTACTGAGTAGTTAGGATTACAGCTGTGAGCCACAATACTGGCTAATTCTTTTTGTATTTTGAGTAGAGACAGGGTTTCACCATGTTGGTCAGGCTGGTCTTGAACTGCTGACCTCAAGTGATGTGCCCACCTCGGCCTCCCAAAGTGTTGGGATTTCAGGCAGGAGCCACTGCGCCCAGCCTTTACATTTGCTTTTGAAGGGGTGTTCTTTTCTGTGTATACAATGGAAGGAGAAGAGCCATGGCCTTGGGCTATTCTGGTGGTCATCTCCATCATGCTTCATAATAAACGTAGCCTTTATCCCTCTATATTGGGTTCGTAAGTTCCTAGGGATGCTGTAACAGGTTACCATGAACTTAGGAGCTTAGAACAATAGAACTTGATCGTCTTACATTTCTGGAGGTCAGAAGTATGAAACCAAGTTTTCTGAAAGTCCATGTTTCCTCTGAAGGCTCTTAGGGAGAATCCTTGGACTCTTCTAGCTTCTGGTGTCTCCTGCTATTCCTTGGCTTGTGGCAGCACCACTCGAGTTTCTGCTTCCATTTTCACAGGGCGTTATTCTCTGTGTCTCTCTTTCTTCTCTTCTCATAAGGAGAACCAGTTATTGGACTGAGGGCCCACCCTAAATCCAGAATGATTTAATCACAGAACCCCCACCCCCGCAACTGATTACATCTGTAAAGACCCTACAGATTATATCTGTAAAGACCCTCAGGTTACATGCTGAAGTTTGGGTGAACATGAATTTTGGGGAACAATATTCAACCCACTACAATTATTGTGGTAATCATTCCCATCATTCTACATAATAAACACAGGTCTTTATTTGTCATTTTAGGTTATTTGTAAAGTTATGTAAATCAAAACATATAATCTGGTATCATTTATCATAAGATCATCTGGGGGTCTCGATGAAGTCCGTAGCCTGTATCTCATGTCTTTAAATCAAAATTAGTCAAATCAAAAAGTGATATTATTTGGCTTGTTAAAATATACTCCAACAGATGGACAAAATGAACTCCTGCTTCCTAAAATGAGATGAACCCAAAACAGAATGTCACAACCAGCAAGATGAGGGGCTAGTTACATATTTTTGTGTTATTATCTGCTGTTAAGCAGAAACCAGCTTCAAAAAAGCATTACCAACAAAACTTCAGCTAGAAAATTTCCAATTGACCCCACTAGACTGCCTGATCCTATCCAGCAGAAACATTCCCTCCCTCCTTCCCCCAACCACAGCAACGCCTTGTGGTCCTACTACAACTCCGATCGGACAAAGGACTGGCCTTTTGTTTTGTTTTGTTTTTTGAGACAGAGTCTTGCTCTGTCACCAGGCTAGAGTGCAGTGGCACAGTCTCAGCTCACTGCAACCTCCACTTCCTGGGTTCAAGTGATTCTCCTGCCTCAGCCTCCTGAGTAGCTGGGACTACAGGTGTGTGCCACCATGCTCAGCTACTTTTTGTATTTTAGTAGAGACGTGGATTCCCCATGTTGGCCAGGATGGTCTTGATGGACAAAATGAACTCCAGAATGATTTAATCACAGAACCCCCACCCCCGCAACTGATTACATCTGTAAAGACCCTACAGATTATGATCCGCCCACCTTGACCTCATGATCCGCCCACCTTGGCCTCCCAAAGTACTGGGATTACAGGTGTGAGCCACTGTGCCCAGCCAGGACCCGTCTTACAAACATTCTTTATTGATAAACAACTGCAGACTTCAAGCCAGTGTCCACCAGCTTATAGAAATTGCGCATAAGATGTCTTTGTGCCCTATAGTTCACAATAGTGTTGATGCAAAGAGCTGAATTCCAGCTCATTTTAATGCTAGAACTCCAACCCAATGTGAACATGGAATGTGTGATACGTATATGTTTATCCACTGTACACATGCCTGAATTTCCTCATAAATAATAGATCCTCTGCAACCCTGCTCAATATGTAAGGCTGACTGTGTAAGACACAGATGCCAGCTCCCTCCACCCTTCTGCAGCATGTGCATTTTTGGTTTTTCCTGTAAGCCACATTCCCCAATCTGCAGGTTGTCTCTCCCTCTAAAAATGAAGTATCCTTTCCTTCCTCCGTGGATCTCCTGGTCTTTGTGAACAGACGTAAACAGCAAGCACGGGAGATGTTGCATGGTTGGCTGCCTGCATCTTCACTAAATTCTCCAGCTTCTTTCTGAAATGGATTTTCTAAGTCAGGGGTTGATTGAGATTTATTTTAAGATGCATATGGAATGTTCGATATTCATGTTAATTATGTTGAAGCTCATTAGTGTCATTAGTATAATACATTAGAAGGAATCTTTCAGCTGGAGTTTTCAGATTTTTAATTCGTGCATTTTTAGGCTCATTTTGGAAAGAATAAGCTTTAAAAAATTCATAGTGAAAAAAGGGAGGACTAGGAATTTGAGGGTAGCATCTCAGGTGCTTCTCTTGTGGTGTGGAGAGAAATGGGTAGGGCTCAAGTTTTGGATGCACTATTTCCTGTTACTGTCATCACTAACTAGTTCTGTGTCCTCATGGTGAGTAGGGAGAATAATAGAACACAGTTTCAGGGTTCTTGTACACGTTAAGGGGGCGGGTTTACGCAAAGCGCCTAGAGCAGATATGGCACATGGACAAAACCTACACATTGTTAGCTGTTATTTCAGTAGGAAATTAATTTCTTCCCAGGGTTTGCAGATGGAGGAGGTGTCATTATTGAGGGCAGTTTTCACCTGATATGATTGATCAAGGGACACATATTCTCTAGAGTTCATGAGAATCCAGCTATAGTTTATGTTACTAACTTAGAAAGTCATTTGCAAATATGCCTTCACTTTCTTCAAGAATATTTGGAGGAATGTAGCGTGCTCATGTGGCAGACTTTAAGGTGTGACAATATGTAATTGTCTGTGTGGAAAAATATATAGACAATATATAATAGTCTATATAGGAAAAATCGCTATTTTTTGAATATTTTTTGAAATTTTGAAAATACAGAAAAGAGTAAAAATTAAATTGATCTGTAATCCTTGGTGTACTTTAAAATAAAATATATAATTCTACTCACTTAAATTTGGGAAACCATTAATCATCTTCAGCAAGGACCTTATTTTTGGAGCAGCTAACTTTGCATGTTAAAGCCAAAAGTTAACTTTTGGTAGTCATCTCAATTATTCATTGTGATGTAGAGGCATTTAATCTACATTCTGGGAACTGGGATATTCCAGGGACTGGGGTTTCCTTTCTCATTGCAGGCACCTACCTGAGGGGGTGGGAAACATGCCTCTGGGGCTCTGGGACTCAGGTGAAAGCGTAGTATGGAAGCCTGGGGTATTTCTCTCTGCTCCAGAATGTCAGTGCCACTCAGTCCATGCTGAGCAGCAGGGGATTTTAAAAAGGGAGTGGGAGAACAGAGAGAGGCTAAGAGTCTCAGTTATCCAAAGGGGCTAAAGATCCCCCAAGTACTTCTTAAAAAACTAGCCCTTTGTCCCTAATGCCTTTGATCTTGATTTTGAAATCTATCAGAAGAATTTGGGTAGCTAGCGTTTGGGCATCTTTGCTAGATTTTGTATTCCTTTAATTGTATTTGGTTGGTTGGTTTTGTTTTGTTTTGGAGACAGGGTCTTGCTGTCACCCAGGCTGGAGTGCAGTGGGCGGGATCATAGCTCACTGCAGCCTCAAACTCCTAGCTAAAGGGCTCAAGCGATCTTTCCATCTCAGCCTTCCAAGTAGCTGGAAACACAGATACAGGCTCCTGCCACCAGGTAGTTGTTCTTGGTAAAGTAGCACCTCACTATATTGCCCAGATTGGTCTCGAACTTCTGGGCTCAAGCAATCCTCCTGCCTTGACCTCCCAAAGTGCTGGGATTACAGGCATGAGACACCGCCCCTGGCCCTCCTCTAACTTTTAACACAATTCAAAGTACCTATATAAACATTAAAATGTATAAACACAAATATGTATACATATATATGTATATAAACACAAAGTACCTATGTAAACAAAGAGCCTATTATAAACAGATCATTTAGTTGTTTTCCAAGGACTTTAAAATAGTTAATGAACTTGAGGTCAGTGACAAGTAAATAAAAAAGTGAGAATTCGCTTGTTGCAGTCATGAGTATTGACAAGCCAGCGGACCATTCCCTGTCTCCCTAGATGTCAGTGAAACCTTAGATGGCCCATCGTTGGTCAGTTTCTGTTCTTTAGGAGAAACAGGTGGGAAAGAGGGAACACTGGGAATATGCCACTCCTAAAGGGATTTCTATTGTATGACAGTTTACTTGAAAAATTGTTTTAACCTGCCAGGAAAAAAAAGAAAAACAAGTTGCTGCTTACTTAAAGCCCTCCGTGGCTATTCTGACACTTGCAATTTATTCATTTGCCAAAAGCCCTGTAAATCTAGCCTCCTCCTGGACTGAGGTGGTGTTTTCTGGGCTTTTCCAGCTCCCAAGAGCTCCTCCCTCACTTCTTTCCGCCTCCTGCTGCCCTGTTACTGGGGGCCCCTCCTCCCTTTGCCCCAAGGCATCTCTGCAGAGGTCTCCGATTGGTGCACAGCACAGCCTGGCCTTTTAGGGACTGTTGTCCGGCATTTAAAGTGATAGGGAAAGGGTCCAGTGGCTGCTTTTATCAACCAATCAAATATTTTCCTGACAGATCCCAAAATATTCCTGGGCCAATGGAGGGGGAAGCCCAAGATGCCTCTGCTGCTCCTTGGAGAGACAGAGCCTCTTAAGTTGGAGTGGGAGGGCAGGAGCTCAGTGGAGCCCTGGGCTGCCGCCAGCCCGGACCTGGCACTTGCTCGCCCGTGTCACTGTCAGGATTTGTCTAGCGGCGCATTCCCTAACAGGGGTGTGTTGGGGGGAGTCCTCTTTCCAACTGTCGAAATGGTTATCAAAGTGTTTGTTGCTACATCTTCTGGGTCCATAGCGGTAGGTGTCTGGTGGACTCTTTCTTCCTATACTCTTTTGTGAATAACTCAGGGTTGGAAGTATGGCCAGTGTTGGCCTTCATTTTCTTTTTCGCGTGTAGTCAGCTGTGGCTCTGCAATTAGTATGTGCGCCCTTTGCTTTCTGCATTTGATTTCATGGTGTTGAAAAAGCATGGAAAAGGTGTAATCTGGATGGTTGGATGTGAAAGGGATTCGAGGAAGGAGGCTTGCTTGACACTAGAGTTTTTAATATGTGATTTGTGTGAATATTATAGAATCAGGGACTTTTTTATGTATGTTTCTGCCATTCATTCTGCAAGGCTTAAACTAATTTAAAATTGCAAATAAGTGACACTTTATGTAACACTATTTGGAGTGGATGATGAACCAGATTGCTAAAATGACTCTGGGGTGTAATCACTTGTAAGTGCCGTGTAATGATGTAATCATACCGAAAGTGTGAAGTTAGTATGTGTAATATATTGTTTGAGGAAAGTGATGTCACAGTGACCAGAGCAGACGTCTCCAAGGCCACAGTTATAAACACTCCAGGCAGTCAGACGGCCCCAAAATAGGACCTGAAAGCTGACTTCCATAATAGTGCTTTGTCTAATTTTTTTTTTTTTTTTTTTAGACGGAGTTTCGCTCTTGTTACCCAGGCTGGAGTGCAGTGGCGCGATCTCGGCTCACCACAACCTCCGCCTCCTGGGTTCAGGCAATTCTCTTGCCTCAGCCTCCTGAGTAGCTGGGATTACAGGCACGCGCCACCACGCCCAGCTAGTTTTTTGTATTTTTAGTAGAGACGGGGTTTCACCATGTTGACCAGGATGGTCTTGATCCCTTGACCTCGTGATCCACCCGCCTCGGCCTCCCAAAGTTCTGGGATTACAGGCTTAAACCACCGCACCCGGCTGGTTTGTCTAATTTTCTTATGAACATCCACCTCTTCAATTCTGGCCTTCATTCTGTGCAGGCTAGATCTGCCATGAGAAATAGGGATGATGAAGTGACACATTTCTTCTTGGAAATGGATCAGACTTTGATTGTAGGCTTGAACCTGTAGTGTCTGTCTGTCTGGGACTAATATTTTGACCAGCATTTTAGCAGAAATTAGGAAGGCTGTGGAGAGAAAAAAACAGTTTTATTAATCCCAAGAGTTAGAGACCAGCAAAGTGGCTGTTTCCTTTTATATCTAGTTTCTGGGGGATATCAGGTTTCGGTTCAGATTTCAGCAGCCAGAGACGATACCCAGAGTAAGCCGTTGGCTGGGGTGACAGCCCCAATGACAGCCGCTGAGTGCCACCACTCCCAGTCCCGAAAGTTCATGAGGTTTCCAGAGAGGGTGAGAAGAACGCAAGAGAAAATAGCTTGGCTGTCCCTTCTGCTAAGCACAACTGGTCGGTGATTATTTCACTGATCTCTAGAACAAGTTAACCGAAAAAGTTGAGGACAAAATCCAAATGTGAAACTCTACAAAATCTTTTGTGGCTGTTGATGACTGCTGAAACTTTCGGTTGATCTGGAAGGAGCACGTTTTTTGACTATTTGGATAAAAAACATTTTTTGGGGTGGGAGGACGGAAATGGCTTTGGTGGGCTTTAAATATATTGTTGATGCTCATGGCTGAAAACTTTACCTCTCACCCGTTAATCCTCCATACAGTCTATAGACCTGGTCTATGTATTCTTCAGGGACAATGAATATGTGAATGAATTTTCAGGTTTATTTGATGTCCTGTGTTCTTAAAGTTTGGGTCCATAATTTAGTTAGCTTCAGATGACCTCGAGAGGCAGTGTTCATCCCAGGGTCTTGGAAAAGCCAAGTTAATTTTGGTTCCCTACGCAAATGTTTCAGTGATCTTGTAACTGTGTGACCTTGGGAGAGTTATTTCACCTTGTTAAGCCTCAATTTCCTTGTCTGTAAAATGAGGATAAGAATAGTGCCTACCTCACAGTGTTGTCATGAGGACTGATGGAATGACGTGCTCGGGTGCCCCACGTGGTGTTGAGTGCTTAGCAGCACTCAAGAAATGTTCCAGTGATTAGTGAATATTATTTCTACTTACTGGCTATTATTAGTTAATATTAGTTGCTACTATGATTGTTATTAGTTACTATTAATGAATATTAGGATTTCAGTTATAATTATTAGTTACTATAATTATTAGCTAATATTATGTAGTAGATTGGGGTCTATGATATGTAAGAAGAATTTTCCAGGACCACATAAATGGGAGAATTTCTGCCTTAGCCATAAAAATGGGAATTAATTATCCCTATGGTATCATGGGTAGGGGAATTTCACTCAAAAGCTTCTTGGCAGGGAAAACCCAGAGTGGCTTCTTGTGTCCATACTACTGTGTGACAGTCGGTCTGCCAAGCCTTTCCTACTTATTTCTTCAGCCTGTACATTTAAAAAATGGATTCTTGCATGACACCTCATCAGGAAGGGCATTCTGACTTCTGTTGGATGAATGAAATAAATGAAAAAGGAAAAGCAAATTGTAATCTCCTTATGAGGAATTAAATACACATAGCTGTGTATTACGTCTCGATTTTAATTGTTGACTCTAAAGAGCTGTGGCACATTTTACCCATGTTCTGGATGGATTTGGGTTAAGAGACCCTGGGGAGTAGGAGAGAGTGTGTGACTTCTTCTGGGACTCTCCTCTCTTCCAGAAGACCACAGTGGAGCACAGGGAACAAAGGGAGAGAGGACAGTCCCTGCTGTCTCCAAGATGCGCAGCCCCTGGAACCAATCTTTAAGGACAGACCCTCATGGTGGCGCTTGGGTTTCTTAGTCCTTTCTCCATATTGATTGACAGTGTCAATATCATGGGAAAAATATTACTCTTGAATTCGATCAGTCTAAGTCTAGGACAATTCATTAATTTATTGGAGCCTCAGCATTGTTGTAAAATAGCCATCCAAATACTGTACACTGGATGGCCTGTGTGACAGTGTATGGGAATGGTGGTGTGCTGTGTGGTGCCTGACAGTGTAGGTTTTCAGCTTATGGCACAAAATGCTTTTTCATACATCATCTTCCTCAGTTCCCACCAAAACCCATGAGGAAGGCCTTGTTACATTCGGTTTGCAGACGAGGAAATTGGAGATCAGAGCCCTTGCTCAGACAGCAGCCTTCTAAGCTAGTACAGAAACACAGGTTGTCTCTGACTCAAATCCAGCATGCTTTATACTACAGTACAGTGATCTTAGTTGGAAAGTCTCCTAACTGTACAAGACAATAAATGAGAGGTGCCAAGTGAGTGGCATTAAGAGGCACTGCTGTCACATCACTCTGACACAGTCTAGTAGCTAACAGTGTCTGGGTGACTTTAGGACAGAGAACAATACTTTCTTCTAAGTAAATGTAATAGGATAGGGAAACAGAGCTCTCTGACTCTGCTGAGGTCCCAAAGGCTCCAAACAATGACACACACCCCAAGTACCCCCAGATCCTGTAGAGCCACTACCCAGGACAGACAGTGCAGCCTGGGGGCCAGCATGGGCCATGGCACCCTGGAGGGTGGAGAAGGGGCAAAGGGGGAGAGATGAAGAGTAGGAGTGTGTCCGTGATGAGAACTGATGGGATGCTGTGCACATGCTCCCTCTGGGCCATAAAGGGAAGGACTCTTCTGAGATCTGATGCTGTGTTCCTGGGGTTCAGCTCAGCAGGCGCTGTGAGGAGCTGTACTTTGCAGACTCAGAGGGACTCCTTGATCAGGGACCTGCCAAGGGGGAGGACTTTGGAGGAGAGGGACCCCATGCTAGATTCAGGGCATTGAGGTGCAGCAAGGTGACAGTGCTGACCAGGTGAGCTCACATGCTTACTCCCCTCTTCCGTCCTCTGGCCTTGATCCTAAAACCCTTTCCTGGAGACTCCCAGTTCAGGCAGAACTCAAGTTCTGAATAGCCTGACGAGCAATGCACTGGGCCCTGTTTAAATGACTGGTGTTTGGGAGAGTACAGGAGGTAAATGGTTTTCATTTTTCCTCTTCCTTTTCTCTTTTTTTGGGGATGAGGGCTGAGAAACAGCACGTAACAGAATGCCAGGCATCCCACAGTCCCACAGTGGACCTGGATGCAATTGCATGTCTTGTGAGGCCCAATCATCAGCATGGTCTTCCCCTCCCATTGTCTCTATTTCTTTTTGCCTTTCTAATAGAAGAAACTTAAGTCAAGACTTTTGAAAATGTTTTTCATCAATTCCGAATTTTCCCATCCCACGTCAAGTCCTGAGGTATGGTTGATAGAATGGAAATAATGTTGGTGAGGTGGCATGGACCTGGGCCACCTGCCTCCTAGGCCGATTTGGGCTCCCAGGAGGATATCTTAGAAGGCTTTGGAGAAAGAGCAGACAGGGGTTTGGACTGAGTAAAGGAGTTGCCTTCTGAAGAGCTAATTAAAAGTAAAAGTGCCTAAAATGAAGGCATCTCTACCCTTTGAAACAGCAAAGTGATCTCTGAAAAGATCTAAGGGAATAATTGCTTTATAAAATGGCAAGAATAGTTATGGACAAGTTGGAAAAGATGTATAGAGAATGAGATTAATTAAAATGACGATTTAGTCCAACAACCTGTCATCAGGTCTGATGGGATTTTGTAACACTGAAAATTCAGCCGTGAAGCTGTGGAGTTTGGAGCAGTTTCCATGTGGAGGCCAGCTATCCACAGCACAGCTGTGGGAGGAGGCACCTTGGCAGGGAGCGGGTACCTCCTCCTTTTGTTCTCATAGGCAAGACCCTGGGGAATTGCTAGAGTATAGTTGTGCCAGAAGTTTAAGAAAAATTCCACCGTTCCACACCTTTCTGTGTATCTGTATTTATTTGTCCATGCTTGCCCCCAACTGAAATATGTTTGTTGGCCTGAGTCTTACAGATTCAGTAAGTGTTGTAGCAAACAGAGCCTTTAATTTCTTACTCTAATGTTTTTAGTTCCATTATGTTTTTTATATTCATGGTATAAGTGTTAATTAAAATTAAATGTGTGATTACCATTTATATAAGTTTATATGTGATTTGTATACTTATTTACATAACATTTAATAATATAGATTGACTATGTTAATTTTGTTTTAAAAATTAACATGTAGTAAATATAAAATTAAAAAAATTAAAAATTACTTGATATTAATTTATATTATATATACTGTATATACCATATATAATCAAATCACTATCAAGATCAAATTATATATAAATCTTCTATAACATATTATATAACTTGTATAAAAATCTTATATATAGTTATATATAAATCTTATATGTAAGATATATATTTGTATATTAATGTTATATGTGATTATTATATATAATATTGTTATATATAAATCTTGTATATAAGATTATTATATATTATATAGTTGTATATATAAATCATATATAAGATCATTATTAGTTATATATAAATTTTTTATATATAAGATTATATAGTTATGTATAAATCTTATATATGAGATTATATATTAGTTATATATAAATGTATAAGATTATTATATATGATATAGTTATAGGTATAAATCTTATATATGATTGTTATATATGGTATAGTTATCAATATAAATCTTGTTATATATAAGATTATTATATATTATATAGTTATAGATCTAAATCTTATATATAAGGCTATTATATATTATATAGTTATAGATATAACACTTCTGTATAAGATTGTTATATATTATATAATTATATAATTTAGTCTTGGAGGTCATTTGGTTTTAGGGCTTAAGTATCCAGATTTGTCTTACCTTTCCTAATATTATGAAACACCCACCTGGGCACCATGACTCACACCTGTAATCTCAGCACTTTAGGAAGCCGAGGCAGGCAGATCACTTAAGCCCAGGATTTTGAGACCAGCCTGGCAACGTAGTGAAACTCCGTCTCTAACAAAAAATACCAAAAATTAGCCAGACATGGTGGTGTATGTCTGTAGTCCCTGCTACTTGGGAGGCTGAGGTGGGAGGATCACTTGACCCTGGGGAGGTTGAGGCTGTAGTGAGCCAAGATCTTGCCACTGTGTTCCAGCCTGGGCAACAGAGGGAGACCCTGTCCCAAAAAAACCCCCACAAAACACACAAAAAACAACCTCACACAAAGAAACATCCTAACACCCTATACATGAGTCATTAAATTTGGTGAATAAAATAGACATTTTGGTTTACATATTTCTAAGAAAGGAGTTGAGTTTAGTTAAAAGAGGGTTTACATTCAGATGATATTAGATTTGGGACAGGCATGTGCCTTTTACAGTATTTGTTTGAAATCCTCAAAGTGTACTCCTTATAAACAAGGCACATGAAAATAACAAGGGGCCCTTGTGCTCTGTAAAACATTTTTAATGAGTTGTTTTCATATGAGATAATATTCTATTCAGAAGACTTTTAAAAAATTCGGATATTAGATATTTTCATGTCAAAGAAAATACTTAAAGTTTTATTTTTATTTGTTAATTATTGTAATTTTTATTTACTTTTTTGAGACAGAGTCTTGCTCTGTTGCCAGGCTGGAGTGAGGTGGCACGATCTTGGCTCACCACAACCTTCGCCTCCCAGGTTCAAGCTATTCTCCTGCCTCAGCTTCCCGAGTAGCTGGGACTATAGGTGTGCATCATCATGCCCAGCTAATTTTTGTATTTTAGTAGAAATGGGGTTTCACCATGTTGGCCAGGCTGGTCTCAAACTCCTGACCTCAGATGATCCACTCGCCTCAGCCTTCCAAAGTATTAGGATTACAGGCGTGAGCCACTGCATCTGGCTTAAATATTACTGTTTTTTTTGTTTTTTTTTTTTTGAGATGGAGTCTCACTCTGTCACCCAGGCTGGAGTGCAGTGGCATGATCTAGGCTTACTGCAACCTTCACCTCCTAGGTTCAAGTGATCCGCCTGCCTCAGCCTCCTGAGTAGCTGCGATTACAGGCCCGTGCCACCGTGCCTGGCTCATTTTTATATTTTTAGTAGAGACGGGGTTTCCCCATGTTGACCAGGCTAGTCTCAAACTCCTCAGATGATCTGTCTACCTCAGCCTTCCAAAGCTCTGGGATTACAGGCCTGAGCCACTGCACCTGGCCAAGCTTTAATCTTACTCTTAATAAATGGCCATACTTTTGCCTCATCATCCTGAGTGTATTCTGTATCTGTATTGTACCAATTAGTTTGTACATTTTTTTCCACCCAAACAAGCAGTATAAGAATCTATTCACATGAAGGACTTGGCACAATGTCCTGTGCAATGTAGAGAGTCAATAAATAACTGTTGATTATTTGATTGATCACCCTTCCTTTCTTTTCCTTACTTCCCTTCCCTTCCCTCCTCTCCTCTCGTCTCCTCTCATTCCTCCCTCTCTCCCTCTCTTCCTCCCTCCCTCCCTCCTTCCTTCCTTTTTTTTTTTTTTTCCTATTTTTCTTTTTCTTTCTGACTTGTTCTATTGCCATGGCTGGAGTGCAGTCGTATGATCATAGCTCATTGCAACCTCCACCTCCCAGGCTCAAGTGATTCTCCTAACTCAGCCTCTTGAGTAGTTGGGCTACAGGCATGCACCACCACTCCTAATTTTTAAATTTTTTGTAGAGGCCCCACCTCTACAAAAATTTGTTTGCCAGGCTGGTCTTGAACTTCTGGGCTCAAGTGATTCTCTCACTTTCACCCTCCCAAAGTGCTGGGATTACAGGTGTGAGCCACGCACCTGATCTGATTGTGCTTTCTGTAAGTTTTTCCCTGTGGTTATTAAAATGGGACCCACAGAGTCTGCTGTAACTTATTTGCCAGTGTTTATAAAAGATGGCATTATGCATTTTCAGGAGTGAATTCTTTGAAGAGAGAAAATTGTAACTGTTTATGGGGAAAAGGTTCTAAGCCTGAGGGATGGCCACGTTGGTAAGAAATGGCTACTGGCAGATATGGTCATTACCTCTTACATGGTCATTACACCTTATGCAGGTAGAGAAAGGACATTCAACCATGTTCCCTTAGGTGTGGCTGTACTGGACTCTCAGGAGCCAGGTGTGAGTAGGAAAGGAGAAATCTGTGGGAGAAAAGGGTTGTTTCACTGTGAAGCTTTTTTATGTGCTGGGAGAAACGTCCCCCAGCTTTTTCTAGCCCCTGCTTGTGCCCTTACCCTCCAGTCATCTCTCTGTGAGCTTTTTAATCTCTTGTAATATTTCTAAAGCTACTTTTAGCTCAATGTCACTAATACTCTTATTTTTATAACCGAATGAAATGCATTTTAGTGTGGATATATTTGATGTTTTAATTTCACAGTAGATTATCTTTTTTCTGTTCTTTTTAAAACAGAATTTTCATTTTATTTTCAAGAGACAGAATCCTGCTTTGTCACCCAAGCTGGAGTGCAGTGGCATGGCCATCACACTGTAACCTCAAACTCCTGGGCTCAGGCAATCCTGTCTCAGCCTCCCGAAGTGCTGGGATGATGGGCCTGAGCCACGTTGCCTGGCCTCTTTTTTCTCTTCTTTCTCTTTTCCCAATCACATCTCTTCCTAATTTGGATTTTTTGGCCATTAAAGCTTTGCAAAAAATTAAAAGTATTTTGAAGACTGCAAATAAAATATATGAGAGTTTGTCTATTCCATTTAGGTCATGTTAAAAGACAACATTACAACTCATTTAGTTTTGTAGATCTTAATTGGCTTTTGTGATTCTAGAATCTGGCAGCAGTCTAGACCAAAAAATGGTTCACGGCGCTCTGCCCCACAACACACGCAGCTTATATTTGTAGCCAGAAAAGAGGAAATGACATTCAGAAAAGGGAAGTGAGATACAGACAGCTGGGTAGGGTTATAACTCAATATTTGCCTTATTTGAAGGTGATGTGAACAGTTGGCTGCCTGTTATTGGCTGAAGTCTGTCTGCTGTCATTGGAACTCAGCTCTGGTTACAGAGGCAAATTTTTAGTTAGGTTTTTAGTTTGTTTATGTATTAAGCTTGGTTGCAGTTCATTACCTAGGACTCCTGTAAAATCTTCTAAAGCCCAAATTTAGTTTTAACAGTTGATTATACAATTATTTATTTATTTATTTATTTATTTATTTTTTGAGATGGAATCTCACTCTGTCAACCAGGCTGGAGTGCAGTGGCACAATCTTGGCTCACTGCAACCTCCACCTCCTGGACTCAAGAGATTCTTTTGCCTCAGCCTCTCAAGTAGCTCGGATTACAGGTGTGTGCCACCATGCTTGGCTAATTTTGTACTATTTTTGTACTTTTAGTAGAGACAAGGTTTCACTGTGTTGGCCAGGCTGGTGTTGAACCCCTGACCTCAAGTGATCCTCCTGCCTTGGCCTCTCAAACTGCTGTGATTACAAGTGTGAGCTGTGGCACCCAGCCTGATTATATAGTAAGTTAAACATTGATGATACTAAAATTTTAGTACTTAAATAGTCATTTTGTTGATCCTTTATAACAAAGAGGTGTGATTCTATTATTTTCCTTGTTTGAATACTTAACAAAATTATTTGTGTTGTATAGTATAACCAGTGGAAGGATTTAATTTCTGTAAATGTAAGCAAATTTTTTTTCATAAACAGCCTAATAATATTTCTCTACTCTGGACCAGATTAGGAAGAAACAACAAGAAGTAGTGGGTTTTTTGGAAGCAAATAAAATCGACTTTAAGGAATTAGATATTGCTGGAGATGAAGACAATAGGAAGTGGATGAGAGAGAATGTTCCTGGAGAGAAAAAACCTCAGAATGGGATTCCTCTGCCTCCCCAGATCTTCAATGAGGAGCAGTACTGCGGGGTGAGTGTGTGGTTCTCTTAAAAATCCTGCTCTGTGTGTGTTTATCAACAATTGTCTAAAGCAGGTTAATTTTGAGTCAGGATTTGAAATTGTTCACAACTGTCAGTTCATGATCTATTTCTGCTATCCGTTAGCTAATCCATTATGAATAATCAATATTTAAGATTTAGAAAAGGACAGAAACAATATCATGATGATTCAGAAGTTTTAGGGATTATTTCAGGTTCATTCTTTTATTTTGAAGAATTGAGTCACGTGTTCAAACAAAATATACATTTAGTGAGAAATTTTGTTCAGCCTTGCAGTGTGCACACACATGCATCTGTACAGGAATATGGTAAATTTTCTTTGTCGCCCAGGCTGGAGTGTAGTGGTGTGATCATGGGTCACTGCAGCCTCTTTCTCCTGGGCTCAGCGATCCTCTCACCTCAGACTCCCAAGTAGCTGGGACTGCAGGAGTGCAATACTTTGCCCAGCTAATTTTTAAACCTTTGTAGTTATAGGGTCTCCCTGTGTTTCCTAGGCTGCTCTGGAATTCCTGGCCTTAAGTGATCTTCCTGCCTTGGCCTCCCAAAGTGCTGGGACTATAGTTGTGAGCCACTGAGCCCAGCAAGTTTTCACTTTTAGAAAACTGATTTGCAGAAATAAAGTCTTACTATAGACACAAGATATATTTATGTAACTTTATGTAATCAGTTTGAAAACTGTTGGTTGTAACAATTTTGTTTTATACATTTGATAGTTCATTTCACCATAAGATCACTTTTTCCTAGAGTTTATAGATCATACTTCATAAATCAAGTTGCTGGAAAGAAACATTTTCGAAAAAGGACTTTAGAAGATGAGAACTGAAAGTTAACTTAGAGGTCATCTAAGCCATCTAGGTTGTTTTGCAGAAGAAGAAATGAGAGCTGTGTGAAGCCGAGGAAATGTCTCAGTGCCATGCTGCTTCAGACTGCTGGAGCCAGGTGTAGGAATCTTAGCTAACCTCTTCTCTTGCTGCACAGAACTGCCGGTTCTTTAGTTCTTTAGGTTACGTTTTCTTTTCTTTTTTATTTCTTTTGACACGGAGTCTGGCTCTCTCACCCAGGCTGGAGTGCAGTGGCATCATCTTGGCTAACTGCAACCTCTGCCTCCTGGGTTCAAGCGATTTCCCTGCCTCAGCCTCCCAGGTAGCTGGAATTATAGGCGCCTTCCATGACAGGTAGCTGATTATGGCCTTCTCATAAGGACAGCAGTCATGGGAATAGGGCCCGCTCTAATCCGGTATGGCTTTGCAAAGATCCTATTTCCAAGTAAGGTAGCGTTCTTTCTTTCTTTTTTTTTTTTTTTTTGAGATGGAGTTTCTTTCTTGTCACCCAGGCTGGAGTGCAGTGGTACAGTTTCGGCTCACTGCAACCTCCACCTCCTGGGTCTAAGTGATTCTTCTGCCTCAGCCTTGTTAGTAGCTGGGATTACAGGAGTGTGCCACCGTGCCTGGCTAATTTTTGTATTTTTAGTAGAGATAGGGTTTTGTATTTTCAGTAGAGACCATGTTGGCCAGGCTGGTCTCGAACTCCTGACCTCAGGTGATCCGCCTGCCTTAGCCTCTCAAAGTGCTGGGATTACAGGTGTGAGCCACTATGCCTAGCCTGAATAAAGTCACTTTCTGGGGTTTCAGGCTGACATGGACTTATGGGGTACACTGTTCAACCCAGTACAGGGCTATACAAACTTATGTGGCTGTGTTAGCATTCTTCAGAGGCTTAGTCAAAAGTCCTGTGGGTGTGGAAGTGTTTTCAAACAATCTTAATGTGGTAGCATATATTAAGGTGCACATGTGGTCCAGTTCAAATTCCTTCCCACCCCTCACTCCTGTCCTACCCACACCTTCCCCACCTTCCTTTACCTGACCCACATTTCTGAACATTGTGGCCCTTGTTGGATGAGGAAAGGAATAATATTTTTTTAGGGGAGATGGTGGTGGTGAGGAATTTATTTCTTATAAAATTATTTCTATTATATAATTGAGAAATTAATATATATATACCCACTCTGAAAATTTAAGGTGATTCAAAATGGTCTCTAGTGAAAATTATTTCCCTCCATTTCTATTAGTTATTTATTTATTTAAGAGAGAGTGTTTTGCCCTGTTGCCCAGGCTGGAGTGCCGTGGTACCATTGTTGTACCAGAGCGAGCATGGAAAGTCAACACCAAGACAAAAGTATGCCAAATTGCAGGGTCTTTACTGCCGGCGACCACGAAGGACTCGCGTCTCTTTAACCCGTGGCCCCGAAAGGAGGTTGTCAAGACCTTTTATGCCCGTAAACCACCTCCTGGGCAGGGGTGGGGGCGAGGGGCTTCGGACATTCCGAGGGCCAGGGGACTTTGGACATTCCAATTGTTACTTAAGTTCACAGAATTCAAGATAAGCATTAGTTTACACATTGCCTGGGTAGGGTGGAAATGACAGACCTTACTTATTACAAGTCGCAGGGGCCAAGGTGGCATGGGTTTAGACTGCTTGCCTGTCACCTAAGGGTTACAGAGAGCAGTTTCAACAGAAAGCCAAGGTATGGTGGAGGTATGCCGTTTTATGGGGCTTTTACTATGTCACACAATCATGCCTGGCTAATTTTTAATTTTTTTTTGTTTGTAGAGACAAAGGCATCTCACTATGTTACCCAGGCTGTTCTCAAACTCCTGGCCACAGGTGTTGGGATTACAGGGATGAGCCACTGTATCTTGTGCCCCCTCTGATTTCTGACCCCTGCCACTCTAGCTACCTTCCCCTGAGCCAGGCTGGCCCTGTGGTCCTGTAATCTGGGATGCCGCACAGGACCCCATGCACAGGAGAGCTCTGTACTTGGTTTAATGTTCTCCCATTGCTGTCTTGAAATTCTCAACAACTTTTGAAGGAAGGGCTTCACGTTTTCATTTTGCCCTGGCTCTTTTGAATTCTGTAACTGATCCTACTCCGAGGCAGTAAATTTTGTGTTTGGTTTTCCAGAAATTTTCTGTGTAGATTTACAACTGAGTGTCATTTAAAAAATCAGAGTGCGTTATATACAAGTTTGTTCTGTTTATCTAATAACCGCATCTCAGAGTTCACAGTGTAGCTGCTGCGCGTGCTTATTTTATTTATTTTAATTTTATGATAGGGTCTTGCTATGTCACCCAGGCAGGAGTGCAGTGGCTCAATCATAGCTCACTGCAGCATCAAACTCTTGGGCTCAAGCGAAGCGATCCTCTTGCCTCAGCCTCCTCCATAGCTGGGACTACAGGTGTGCACCACCACAACTAGCTAATGCTTTTTATTTTTTGTAGAGATAGGGTCTCACTATATTTCCGAGACTGGTCTCACAGTCCTAGCTTTAAGTGATGCAGCCACCTTGCCTCCCAAAGTGTTGAGATTATAGGTGTGAGCTGCTGTGCCTGGTTGCCCCATATTTTAATGGCTGCCAAATGTTCCATTGTGTTTAACATATTTTTTTGGCAGGGTCCTCTAATAAAGAACATTCAGGTTGTTTTCAGCCTCTCACCATTACAAACAAAGCTCTGGGAATCATCTTTATATATAACAGTTACAAATCATCTTTATATATAACAGATATAAACAGTTGTTTGTATCCTATATGAGTGTGTATACGTATGCAGGATAAATTCCTGGAAGACATCTGAGTTAAAGCACATATGCATCTCACATTTTGATCAATATTGGCAAATGCCCCCCTGTTGCAGTTGTATCACTTTATACATTTCCATCAGCTGAGTTTGAGAGTGGCTAGTTCCCTGTGACTTTGACAACACTGTGTATTGCATACTTTTGGAACTTTAGATAAAACATGAATTCTCATTGCTTCTACTTGGATATCTTTCTTTATGGGTAACTTGAACATCTTTTAAAACTATGTTTATAAGTTATCTGTGCTTTTCCTATGATTTACTTTTTTTTTTTTTTTGAGATGAAGTTTCGCTTTTGTTACCCAGGCTGGAGTGCAATGGCGCAATCTCGGCTCACCGCAACCTCCAACTCCTGGGTTCAGGCAACTCTCCTGCCTCAGCCTCCTGAGTAGCTGGGATTACAGGCACGCACCACCATGCCCAGCTAATTTTTTTTGTATTTTTAGTAGAGATGGGGTTTCACCATGTTGACCAGGATGGTCTCGATCTCTTGACCTCATGATCCACCTGCCTTGGCCTGCAAAAGTGCTGGGATTACAGGCGTGAGCCACCGCGCCCAGCTGATGGCTTTTTTTTTTTTTTTTTTTTTTTTTTTGAGACAGAGTCTCACTCTGTCGCCAGGTGCCAGGCTGGAGTGCAGTGGCACAATCTCGGCTCACTGCAACCTCCGCCTCCTGGATTCAAGCAATTCTTCCGCCTCAGCCTCCCAAGTAGCTGGGATTACAGGTGCACACCACCACGCCCAGCTAATTTTTGTATTTTTAGTAGAGACGGGGTTTCACCATGTTGTCCAGAATGGTCTCGATCTCTTGACCTCGTGATTCGCCTGCCTCGGCCTCCCAAAGTGCTGGGATTACAGGCTTGGGCCACCGTGCCCGGCCGCTGATGGCTATTTTTAAGATTTATTTTCCTATAACAAATATGGATCTAATGAAATAAATATACAAATTATTTCATGCTTAGCTGTTTTTAATTCTCTTCAGTTCTACCTTCAGAGAGGTATTTGTAGTTTACCTTACAAGAAAGCTTTGCTTAGTTTGCTTTACTGTGGTCTGTGGACACACTTAAAAAAGTACGTTCATGAAGAAGAGGGCTTTGTTTCCAGAAAGTGGTAAACCTGTGTTTATTTTTATTGTGTGCTCAGATTTTAAAAGGAGACTCAAAAGTTCTGAAGGATATGTAGGTTTAAAATAACATCAGTATGGATAGTCAGTGTCTCTTTCTATGTGATTGAAATGTATATAACTGTTATTCACATGGTCTCCCTGGCTTCTGAAGATTCTTGAATGATCAACCATATGCCATGCCTGATGATGGCAGCAGGTGGAAAGAAAAC